TTTTTCTCTGTTTCATTCTGTTATTGTTGATGGACTATTTTTTCTATTTTGTCTTGAATTTGTATATTTTTCTGAGTATGAAACCCAATTTAGGTAAACCAGTAAAGACAACTAAATTAATAGAATAAATCCACAGGGGCATGGCAGGGGATGCTGGAGATAAATGGGGAGCTAACAGCAAGTACAAGGAAGAAGAGATGTCCCAGAATTAACAGTGGAGATGCGTTGTTGCACAGCTCTTATGAATGTGATTGAACTATTGAAACGGATGATATGGAAATCATTTATTGGTGAAACTTTAAAATAAACTGAAGGTTTGTAAAAACTTTCTTTCTCTCTTCAATAGCTCTCCTTACCTTTTATTTTTTCCTCAATGTTGAAATAATAGTTTTTAAATCTCCTTTTGGAACTTTCATTTTCACTTATGAGGTGCTTCAATTAAAAATGTTAATATAAAAATTGAAATTATATATTCTTGATATTTGAATTTTATCTATATTGCTCTTTCTTTAGAATTATTGTTTTAAAAACAAATAAAGAAAATTACACATGATCATCTCTGTTTCATTCAAAGTCAAGAGTAACTTTTGGTAATATCACCAAAATTATCAGAAAAATTTTAGTATGAGAAAGTTTACAAGCTCAAAGTGGTGGTTATTAGTCTTTCAAATTTCTACTTTTCACATGGAAGCTCCAATATTAACACTGGCAGCACAGTCTTTCAGCTGTTTCTTTTAAAGTGACAGTCTTCCTTTGTTCATTTTCAAGAAAATGATTGATAAAAATCCAAAACTATCTAACTAGGTTGCCAGACATTCTTTCAAGTAACAGTGGTGTTCTGTGAAAAATGGCAGCCAGTTCAGCTCACAACTCAGCCACACAAATTCTATCCACCCCGAGGCTGCGCTCCTCTGTGTAACACAAAGCCCGCCTCTGAGGGAGTGCAGTCCATTTTTGCTTCTTTCATTTCTGAGTAGCATTATTACTACTACTAATAATGACCTCGATTGAGAAATCCAGTTACTAGAATCTAGTCCTTAATAGCAACAAATACGCCCGTTAAAGTGTTTGGGATCAGAAACATGTTTTCTGCATGGTCCAGAGGTCAAGGTTGTCTCCATTTTCAGGCGGAAGGAATAGAGACTACTAACCGAGGCTTAGTAATCAGTTTCTCCAACATGTCTGCAAAGATTTCCCTCCACCTTGTCATCACAGGAAGCCCTTGTTGTATGGACAGGATGCCCATGAGCACAATCAAAGTAAAGTGTTATACAAAGAATAATGCGCTGCACAACACCTTCCCTCCCGTCATTCCCCACAACAGTCCCGTGGAGTTGCTTGCTTGCTTAATCAGGTAGGCAAAGTAAAAGATGTGGCATGATGCGACCAGCACACAGATACGTACTAAGGGACCTTGGATGAAACTCAGAAAGCAATCACTATGCTACAGTAGGGACCTTGCTTCCACTCCATGCTAGCACATTGGAGACATAAGACCATCGTTTTATGACTGAAAATTCTGTTACAGGGAAGCAACATTGCCCAGTAAAATAAAGTATCAAATCTGAATTCTCAAAGAGGCCCAAAGAACTCCCAATTTAATCTCTTTGAAAAATACCGTATTTTTAATCCCATGAAATGCTATCTTTTTCATCTTCATCAAATTTCCCACCAGAATACTTGGTCGTCGATTTTATCTCAGTAAAGACAGTCGGGGCTATGTACCTCAGAAACATGTGGGGAGCGTGTTGGCTACAGATTTTTTGATGATGATCACTAGTGTATGAAATGTTGAGGTTTAAGATCAACATGCAGCACGTGTGCACTGGGGATGTGTTTAAGGCATCCGTGGAGGACAACTGAAGCTGCCAAGATACAATCTGGCCAGAGGAAGACGTAATCACTGAGCCTTTAGGATATCAAACTCAAAAAGGAAAAAGAAACCCTCATTGAGCACACAAATTAAAAGCTGGCCTTGAACAAACAATCCCTGTTTTTGACACTTTGTCCTTTGATATCATCAGAGAAAATGTCACACAGAAATGAGTAGATAACTGTCTTCCACAGAATAGTTATTATCCGTTGAGTCTCCACTAAAGACCCC